ACCTCTGATCACAAACATCAATCTATCCCGTTCTGCTAGGGTAGCTTCTGGATGGAGCATGCATACGGAGGAAGTGAGGACTTAGCTGGCCTTCCCTGGTGGCTCAGGCAGTAAAGAATCTGCCTGCAATTCTAGAGACACAGGTTCGATCCCCGGGTCAAGAAGATCCCCTGGAAAAGGAAATGGCAATCCTCTCCAATGTTCTTGCCTGGGAAGTTCCACTGATGGAGGAGCCTGGTGGGCTACAGTCCAAGGGGTTGCAAGGAGTCCCACATGACTTAGCCACTCAACAGCGACAACAGCCCCTTGAGATACAGCTATGTTCAGATGACTGGAAATGTCCCCCCTACTCCCTTTTTTAAAAAAAGAAATGATGGTTAAAGAGGTTCATAAAAAGACACACAAGGTTCTATTTTTATTTAAAGGAAGTTTGTGGCTGGCTTGTTCAATCTCATTAAAAATAATGCACAGTGAGTAGGTCCAGGGCCATCCTGAGGGGACCTGGGACATGTCTTGCACACACTGGTCACCTCCACTGGGTCTAAATCAGTTGTTTCTTTTTTCATTTTACTGGGCAGAGTTGTCAGCTTCTGGCTTCAGTTACTTTTAAGGAAGGTGATGGGAGTCTGCTCTCTGCTTCCTACTCAGATCGTCCTCAGTCTTGACAGTGGATCAGAGCAACCCAACAAGGACAACAGCAGGGGAACTAGGACCACTGACCTTTTGTACACACCCCACTTTCTCCAGCACATTCTTCTCTTGGTTGCCTGAGGTCCCTATCCCTCCCACATCATGGTGGAGGTCTCAGGCATCTCCCAGTCCTGCCGAAGCAAATAGGATTTGAAAGACCTGCAAGGATCCCTGTAACTAGCAAGTCACAACCTCCTCTGTAGAAATAGCTCCTCTTAAACTTTGCAGAGAAGAGAGGATTGGAGTGGGGGGGAGAGAGAGAGAGAGAGAGAGAGAGAGACAGCGATGATCAGATACCCTGAAAGAGCTAGAGGCAGTGGATGTGTTATAAGATGCTATGAGCCAGAAACTAAGGTTAAAAACCAGGGATGCTCCTTTGGGCTGAGTGCAAAGAAAAATCATCTTGCTTGGAAGCCCAGCTCTGCAGGAAAAAGGCTGCCTGCCCTGCTCTGACCCAGTACCTGTGGCCACTCACCAGAGGACAGAGAGGTCTTCTAAGTCAGCAAGAAGGGTCACAGAGGTCACTACCTGGGTCTCTTCTACCTGGGGCATCACACACACACACACACACGAACACACACACACACACCTTTATTTGAAAAGGTAGCAATTGAGCTTCCATAACTAGCCTATCAAACCTACACATTCACTCGTTGCTAAGTGGCACATATTTCCATAAACTCCTTTGTGTGGAAAAGCAGGCCATGGCACAACATTGTAGATCAGCTCTGTGCTGTGCTGTGATCAGCTGCTCCGCCCTTGCTTCCGACTCTTTGCGACTCTACGGACTGTAGCCCACCAGGCATCTCCGTCTATGGGATTTTCCAGGCAAGAATACTAGAGTGGGTTACCATGCCTTCCTCCAGGGGATCTTCCTGACTCAGGGATCTAACCTGAGTCTGCTGCAATGCAGGCAGATTCTTTACCACTGAGCCACCAGGGAAGCCCAAATCAACCATACCTCAATAGAAAAAGAAGAAAAACTAGACCAAGTTAATGAAAAAATATAGAAATAATAAGAGAGGTGACACGTGGATATGATCAACTGTTTGAAAGTTGAAGGACCACAGTCCTTGGACTTGCAAAGCAATCAGTTAGATTGAAGGGTGAAGCCAGAGATCTCATAAGGCCAACCTTGATCGAGGGGCTGAAAATAAGGGTTGCTGAACCAAACTTAGCCAGGATGTGCGTCTTCACCCACTCAGGGAGATAGCAAAGAATATGGAATTAGATCAAAAGGTAACTATTGAAAATGGAGGAAAGGGCATGATAATAGAGCTATTAAAAAAATTTTTAAAAGACCTGACAAGCTCTCAGTAGAAACTAGAGTAAGATAATAGAGTTCTGAGCACTAGGAGAAAGGAAAGAAAGGAGAGGAGAGGAGAGAGAGAGAGAGATGATATAGAATATAAATATTAACCTTACTCCCTTTTATTGAAAAAGCCCTAAGCTTCCTAACAGCGCTTCCCTGGTGACTCAGTGGTAAAGAATCCGCTTGCCAATGCAGGAGACATGGGTTAGTTCCCTGGGTCAGGAAATGGCAACCCACTCCAGTATTCTTGCCTGGAGAATCTCATGGACAGAGGAGCCTGGTGGGCTACAACAACAACAAAGCTTTCTTACACTCAGTGCAACTGTGAGGCTATCTAGCAAATATGTCTGGATAAGATTCCAGTGCATTTTTGTATCATGCCTAAATCCCATTATAAAGAGGTTCTGGGTCATATCATGACTTCTGTACATTATTTCTGAATTCATGTCACTCTGCCGTCCATAGATCTTCAAGAGGCAACCTCATTTCACTGATGTTTGAGCTCAGGACAGAGGTGTCAGTAGCTTTTGGAACATGGAAAATGGAACTTCTCCAGATAAGAACTCCAAGTGTTTATTCCTGAGTCTTTGCTTTCTGTGTGGACCAGCTGGTGGGTTCTGGTCAGTCACCAGGTGGGGAGGCAACAGCTCATCTGGAAGTTAAGCATCTCTTGTGTAAGAAACACGACACTCACACTCCGCATCACCTCACTCTCTCTGCACATGGTTCTATCAAGTGTGTTAGTTGCTCAGTCCTGTCTGACTTTTTGCAGCCCCATGGACTGAAGCTCACCAGGCTCCTCTGTCCATGGGATTCTCCAGGCAGGAATACTAGAGTGGGTTGCCATGCCCTCCTCCAGGGGATCTCCCTGACTTGGGAATGGAACTTGGGTCTCACGCATTGCAGGCAAGTTCTTTACCATCTGTGTCCTGGTCCTAATCTAGGAGCAGTCTTATTATGCATCACCTCCGTTTTTTCTTCCCCAGAGGAGGAAGAAACAAAAAACATTTTTTTCAGAAAAAAGATGAAATCTTTTGCCCAGACATCTTCACTGACACTGTGGTTTGAGCCCATGAGATCAATCAAATTGCAAAGTTCAACCCTTAAGCCCTGGGCCAGCAGAAGGACATCATTTTGTCCACAGAGCAAACTTGAGAAGGTGGTGAAAGACAGGCAAGGAGGAGGGTGAGAAGTGAGAGGATAGTGGAGAGCGTGTGAAGTGGACCGGTCACAGGGAATAATATCTGTACTTGAAATGTTCAAATGACAGAGAGAGAGATGGAGGAACTTCTATAGGCATAGTTCCGCAAATGTAGAATTTTAACTTTAAAGGGAAGGCTCAGTAGAACTAGGAGCTTCCCTGGTAGCTCAGCTGGTAAAGAATCTGCCTGCAATGCAGGAGACCCTGGTTCGATTCCTGGGTCAGGAAGATCCCCTGGAGAAGCTATGGGCTAACCAATCCAGTGTTCTTCATTATTGTTGTTTGTTTGCTTGCTCAGTCATGTCCGATTCTTTGCGACCCCATGGTCTGTAGCCTACCAAGCTCCTCTGTCCATAGAATTTTCCAAGCAAGAATACTGGAGGGGGTTGCCATTTCCTCCTCTAGGTGATCTTTCCAACCCAGGGATTGAACCTGGGTCTCATGCTTGGCGGGCAGATTCTTTACCCCTGAGCCACCAGGAAAGCCACACACACACACACACACACACACACACACACACACACAGAAACACACACACACACATGCACATGTATTGCCCCCACCACACGGCATGCAGAACCTCCCTGACCAGGAATTGAACCCCTGCTCCCTGCATTGGGAGTGCAGAATTTTAACTACTGGACCACAAGGAAGTTCCTTAAAACATACATACTATATGTACACACACACACACACCCCTTTATCAGGCAAGTCCCTACATCTGTTAAAATGTTCAATCACCTTGATGTTTGCCTTGGAACTGGAACACTTCACTTCCAACTAGAACCACTCATGGGAAAAAATCAGCCTCATTCACGAATCACTGTCACATCCCAAACTGCTCCCCAGTCTGCCCAAGGGTTCTGCTGAGATCTTGTGTGTTGGACCTGAATGAAGTGATGGCGGGTTAATGACATCCATCTTCGAAGAAGCTTTTCCAGACCCATGCACATGCACACACCCATACTCTTACACAAACACACACACACAGGCACATGAGGAGTGTTTCCAGTCATGTTTATTAAAATTAGCTTTGGTAGCTTCTATCTGATTCATTGTTTCCTGAAATACAATTGCTCTGTCTGTTGTTATTTGAAATTAAATTTTTTAAAAAGGTATTAAAAAGAAAAAAGGAATAATTTGTAGTCATCATAGGTCATGTTTGTTTGTTTTAAATTATAGCTTTACTGAGGTATAATTGACAAATACAATTATAAGGTATTTTTTAAAAAGGTGTTGATACAGTTACTGTCATCTTAACTGCCTCCATCATTCGGCATCAGAGTTAAATCCTCAGGTGTGCCCAAGAAATCCAACCATGAGATAAAGAGACAAATGAGAGAGCGAGTTAATTTGAACTGTTAGAAATGGCAACCCACTCCAGTATTCTTGCCTGAGAAATCCCATGGACAGAGGAGCCTGGTGGGCTATGGTCCATGGGGTCTCAAAGAGTTGGACACGACTGAAGTGACTTAGCAGGCATGCAATATGCTTGGAAGGGAAAGAAGCCATGAAAATATCCTTTTTCCTTCTTTAAAAATACACACAGAATTATAACACAAATACCGTGAGGGTGGTTTGATCCCCACCCCCACCTTCTTAATACTCTTGGTTGCTCAGAAATGTTCAGCATTGCTTGGTCCTCCTTTGGGTTTAATGGGTATCATGCTTAGGTCTTAGTGACAAAAGAGATGCAAACTTGGAAATGAAGTGCTCTGGAATTTCTGTCTGACTTATGCATTTTATTTATTTATTTCATTTTTGCATTGAAAACATTACATTTCTGTTTCCTTATAGAGTAGTGTATCAAGAGCCTGTGTATGGCAATAAATTGCTGCAGGTATGAAATCCTGGCTGGTGGAAAAACTCATCACTATTGATTGTGGGTTTGCTGTGAAATCCTACTAACAAGATGATTCTGGGGAGGGAAGGGAGACATTCTCTAACACAGAAGGAGGGAAGACTGAACTGAATTTTCCAGTTTTGATATTACTTCTTCTAAAAGAGAAACACTCCTCTTGAAATCTTTTTTTCCCCTCTTTGCTAGATTATGTGTGTTTCAGAATTGAGACTGGGCTTGGCTGTTTCTTTCTTGGCTTAAAGTGTATCTGGCTTCAGTGAATATAAACTCAGTGAAAAAAATCCAAGGGTTTCATTGAACCAATTGTCTGAAAAAAATTTTTTTAGTAATTTCCTGGAGTCAACTGGGATGGTTAAACCAAAAACCTTCTATAATTCAGCATCAAGAATCAGTATACACTGTAGCTTCTTATAAATTTATTTCACATCTTCTGCCATAACTCTCAAACCTATTTCTCACCGATGAAGCCACCCCAAATGAACAAACTTGTAGGAAGGAAAAAAAACCAACACATCCATTGGAGTGTAGCTGGCCAAGTCTCCAAATTTGGTCTATAACCAACACAAAAACTGTCAAATAAAATGTAAGGAGAATGTAAAATTAAAGTGATCAGTGGGAATTTTATTATACAGTTCTCCCTTTAACCTGCTATTGTCACTTTTGTTCAGTATTAAGTCAATTAAGAAAGTACATTTTTTTTAATGGTGAGGTTAATCAAGTTTTAATAAGAAATCTAATATGAAACAAATGGGTATTTGGACTAAGGAGCAAACCAAATAATTAAAATTTCTGAGATAAGCTTTTATTTTCACCTTTTAAGAAAAACTGGACTTCAAAATCAGCTGAATGTGTCATGCAGATAAGTTAAAGAGTGATGATTTATATGAAGTATTTTATATTTTGCAAATAATGCTCTTGTAAATGTCATTAGAGTGAATAAATTTTATGTATATCATTAATCCACCTGCTTTAGACAAAGGGAGATCCTTGAATATTCTCGGAAAGGAGGAAGCCCTGTGTCCCCATCAATACACAAACATTTCACCTCACTTCCTCAGCAGTTTGCCATTTGGATATTTGAACATTCTTTTTCCAAAAGTATGCTCTCAAGTTAAAAATGTGATTTCCATCATCAAACCACTTGGTGATGCAGTGGAGGTCCACAGAGCTCATTAATTCTGCTTTACAAAGTTCCACAAATGAGTAACCAGTTTCATTTCATTTAACTCAACATTTCCCAAACCTATGTGGTCATGAGGCCTGCCTTTCCCTTGATGAAGATCCCACCAAGCACAGTTTTGAAAATTGGAGCATCATTAAAGTACTTAATTGATAACTTCCCCCCATGGACCTCCAGAGGTCTTGCTAACAAAGGAAGTATTCCCAAGCCTGTGAATCAGTATCTTTGATGGTTGCCTCTGGTGGTGGGGGCAGGGGTGGGAAGGGGAATCCATAATGACCATTTAAAATACATATTTTCTATAAGATCACATGTCTATTTTGCTGCCCAGCATGTGAAAATATGTTTTCTGAGTAGGGAGCATAGAACTATTGTGAGCTTGTCATCCCTTTTCTTTTTTTTTCACCTTTGCTTTGGTGATAGGAAAAATAACTGTCAAGGACACATTTTTTTTTTTTTTTTGTCCTAAGGTCTGGAAGGATCAGTTTTAAGGTGACTGTGCTTTGATGACCACAAATGAAAGTGAGCACTTCTTTTTCAAACATTACCCCAGAACCTCGCTGAAGCTTTGGCTATACTCGGCAAGCTGCAAAATATGTTCAGCAATAAAATTGATTAGAATCACCTGTTAAAAAGGCAAATTAAAGCAGTTTTTAAAATCATTTTACAGTGTGTGCACGCATGCACCGAGTCAGTATACAACTCTGATTTTCCCTTAAATGGATTCCACGCCGAAGAAGAATTGCAAAGGAAGATGATGCAGTGTATAGATACAGAGACGTCAAGCCATCTACCCCTTTTTCTTTGTCCAGTTACTGCAAATTCCAGGGATCACTTAGACCTGGGCTGTCCAATACTGTAGCCACCAGCCCCATGTGGTTGTTTACATTTTAGTTCAAATGAGTTCAACATTAAATAAATTAAAAATGCCATTTGTTGTAGCCCCCAGATTTCAAGATTTCCGTAGACATTTAGGACAAATGGCTACCATATTGGACTGTACAAGTATAGAACATTTCTGTTCATCATCAAGTCTACTGGACACCTAGGAGATCACCGACCAAGGTCAAAATCTCTTCACTGGTTCCACAGACTTTGCCAAACTAGGACCTTGACTCATGAATCAGGAATACTTGTAAACATACTCTTAAATAGCAAAGATAAGTATCAGGACATTGACCTCCTGTGCCTGTCTTACATGGAAACCCACACTTGTTTTCTCTAAATGGTTAAAACTTGTGCAAATAGAGAATGGGTCCTTCCCAAAGCTTTAGACACGCCCCTCAGTTGTTCAGCAGTGTCCTAGGTGTACACTCCTCCATTTTATATCAATGCAATAATTGTCAGCCTAGTAGTCAGTGAAGGCTTGCTGCTGACTTGTTCAGTAAAGAATCCACCTGCAATGCAGGTAGACCCAGGTTGTTTGATCCCTGGGTTGGGAAGATCCTCTGGAGAAAGAAATGGCAGCCCACTCCAGTATTCTTGCCTGTAAGGTCCCATGGACAGAGAAGCCTGGCGAACTACAGTCCATGGGGTCATGAAGCGTCGGACATGACTTAGTGACTAAACCATAGCAGTCAGAGACGTTCATTTTAGGTATATTCTGTTTGCACTGCCATAGTTTTTCTCACTTATCAAAATTGCTACCTACTTCCATTGACAGAAACCATTGCAGAATTTGAGGGAGTCCTCCAGAATTCAGACAAAGCACATCATGATTGATTGACGTGGCCCTTGATGCAATGCACTTTGCAGTAACTTTTGGTTTCCATTCTGAGAGTGACAGAGAACACACATACACACGCACACGTTCTCCATTCAGAGTTTTCAGCTGGTTGCAGCTAATGCCTCCTAGCCATCAGCAAGCCAATGCCAGCCCCTCCCTACCTCATTAAGCTCAGTACGCATGCCTGCACACCTGTGTCTCTGTGGATGCCTGATGAAAGGCAAGGAGATGGGCAAGCTGATGAAAAGACTGGCTCCAGAAATCGGCTGACCCAATTTCCCCTCAGCCCATCATTCTGTACCTGGAGCTTGGTGCTCCGTGTGACAACTGCTTTGGTTTCCCAACTCCTCAGCACATTTAATGAGTTTCTCCATTCCTAATTAGAGAACATGGTGTTTGGAACACCAGGTGGTTTCTGGCTAAGACCTCTTTTTTTTTTTTTTTAACTTTCACATTGTTTTTCAAGGGAGACTTTTTAAAAAATAAAAATACTGGCTCCAAATTATGGGTGATTATCTGTCAGAATGTCTTGGAGGTGTCTTCTCCAGAGTGATCCAAAGAAGGAGCTTGATTAAGGAGAAACTAGCTTTTTGGAATTGCCATGTAAGTGATAGAAAACTTGCTTTGAAAGTTGGTTATGATTGGCAAAGAGTAGAAATAAATTTCAGAGACCACTGTACCTATCACTGTTCTGATAGATGCTTCTTGCAATTTTCTCGTTCATCTGTCTCCTGTGCTATACGTGGAGCCAAGTATAATGAACTGCTTTACTCAAGATCCTACCGTTAAATCCCCCCCAATATCCAGTTATTTTGCTATTAGAAGCCCTCTGACATGGTTGTCTGTCCTGAATCCTGAAGGGTGTCTGTCCCTTCACAGCAAGGGTGAAAACCCTTTTCCCAGAGGATCGTGGGACTATGTATTCTCTTTGGAACCTGAATGGCCCCCGTGTTATCGGTGGAGACTGGATCCTGTTAATTGTCCTAAGATCATTCAGCAGTGGTTGATGTATCACTGTGGTCTGCTGAGCAAGAAGCTCTGTTATTTTCACAGTTTGATAATGAATGCTGCACTGAACACAATTCCTTTCGAATATGCCCATTTGCTTGTCCTCTGCTTAATTGAACAATTGCAATTACTGGTACATACAACTAAATGTTAATTATTTTCCTCCAATTTTTTTCTCTCTCCTAATGATTTCATTTACAAATTGGAAGACTTTATCATATTTTCCACAGCAAACAAATTCCCCGTCTGAACCAGTGTGATATCTTAAGCTGAAGATAGAATTTTTAAGCAGTGTTCAAGATTCCTTTTTTTAAATCATTATGTGACATTTAAAAAGCTAGAGACAGTCTTCTTTCGTTGCTTTAGTGGTCGAACAACTGCATATGCAGGAGATTTCTAACACAGTTTCAATCAAAGGATTATCTTATTTTTGTAAGTAAACATCAAAGACATTAACATTAATAAATATCAAAGATAGCAGGGTGTTAGCATGACCTGTATTGGATTTTTAAGGAAGTTCTCAAAGATGGTTTGAATAACTTGATAGCTGATAAATCAAGGTAAAGCATACTCACTTTTGAAAATCTGGAAAGTTCAGCCAAGTAGAAAAAGCATTTAAATAATCGCCCATAATCCTCTGCACCCCAAAATGATTACCATTAATTAACATGTAGGTACATCTCTTTCAGAGGGTCTCTGGGTTCCCCCTTTGGGATTTGCTTACAACTGCTAATCTTTAACATTCAGCTGGGGCTGGTAGTCCTCCCCACATCCTTCTAGCGTGTTTTGGTACTAAGCTTTCATTAACCTCCACTTGAGTTCGCTAGATGTGGGTCACTGCTGTTCTGCTGGGGTCTCACCATCAGGCGCCCTGAGTCGGCTTCCTCTGAGTTCCTAAGCCCGCTTTCTCCTTGTGTTTTAGGGTGGTTATGCTGCTTACCGCTACGCCCAGCCCACACCTGCCACTGCTGCTGCCTACAGTGACAGGTAAGGGCTTTCCTTCTCACGCTTGACTATTACCTGGAAATGAACTTAGCTGGTGGGAGGTGAGCTTCTCGTCTGGTCTCACTGCAAATGCATGACCGCTGGGGAAGGCAGTGCCCTGAAAGTTAGGTCTCACGGTGAAGGTCAGCACGGGGCCGCCAGGACGCACAGTGACGCCTAGCTCATTCTGATCACTCGGCCTCTCTGCTGAGACACAAAGATGGTGGGTCCCTGCATAGTTGTCTTTCCGTCTCAGTTCCTCTGACAGCACACCCTGCATGCACAAAATATACCGTTTGTATAGCCTTCTCCTGGGCTTCTCTGTAAAATCCTGGACTCATGTAACTCATAGGACGAAAGCCAAGAGAGGATCCCACAGGTTTACCTTGATTTTCAACACCTCAGTTCCCTTTTTTACACCTTTGTACATTCAGGAAAGCACTCCCCTTTATTGCCTTTTAAGATCCCACCTAAAGGAATATGGGCAGTGTGTCTGGCATTCATAAGGAGAGTCTTTTTGGCAATGCCCAGACCCCGTGCCTATGAACATAAGCCAACATTTATTTGTAATGCATACCACATGTGAAGACTGGCAGCGGAAGGGACTGAAGTAGGTTTAAGAAATGCAGAAGTCAGAACTGGATGGCGGGGGGTGAGGGCTGGGGGTTGGAGGAGATCTATTACCCATTACCCAGGCTTAACAGATGACTCGGTTTCTGAAATGGCAAGCCACAGCTATTTTCGTATAAGTGCTTTGGAGGAAAAAAAAAGAAAGTGTGCGTTTCCATATTGAATGCAAATCGTTGGCTCTGTTTTCAGAGGACATAAATGTGAATGTTCAGATGCTCTGCATGCACAAATGTCATGGAGGGTGCTTATTTTGGGTAATGACTCCTTTAATTTAAAACTATGTTTCATGAATAAACCAGTAATGGTAACCGTTTGCATGTGTGGCTGAGGCATGCTGGGTTCGACAGGTAAGCAGGCGGTGTCTTGGACTCGTGAATGGGGAGTGTTGGCAGACTCTGGGTCTCCTCTCAGATTTCTTGTGACTTGGTTCATCTCTTGCTGTGGTATGCTTTCTCTGCAGTTCCATTCCATTTCTCACAAGATGTATCCTTAGTTCTTTGTAACTACAGACTTCTTCAGATGTATACAAAAGCAAAAGAAATTCCTGAACCCTCAATGTCACACTTTGAAAACCCCATACATAAAAACTCGTGATCAAATAGCTCTTTGGCAAGACAGAGTTGAGATCTGTTATCTGATTGTATGCAGGTATTATTCCTATAAATTCCTATTATGTTTATAAACAGCCATCGAGAGCTCTCAAGTCTGGAGGGAGCTTCCAGAGAAACCCAAACAATTGTCAGCTCACAGTTCTAAATACTTAAATTATCCAGTTACCCAATCATCAGTTGCTAGGATGCAAAATATGTTTTATGAAAGTTGCTATCTTCAATACACTTTGACACTGAATTAGGGAAATTGAGAGGGTCAAAAAAGCTAATAAAAATGATGACAGTCTTGAAATCCTCAAGATCACTCTACAAATGAAAAGGCTTAATTCTATTAAATTCTGCACACTGCAGATTCACAGAGTGTCAATTGTAATGTGGTTCATCTACAACCCTTAATTATTTTTATGAAAATATCTCTCGATGCTAAATTCTTCAACACCCACTTTGTATATAATTATAATCATAGTAACTTTAGCCTGCTGCATAATTATAAGAATCTTAAACAGATTTATGTCTTTGGGTTTTTTTTTTTTTTAATCTTGCTTCTCAGTATAAGTGCATCTATCCCCAAGCTGAAAAAAAGGTTAATTACAAAGATATAATTTAAATTGCTTTCTTTAATAAGACCAACATAGACATTTGGGAAAAAAAAAAAAAACCAAACAACATTTAATACTATTCTTAGATAGAATTACTTGAGGATCTGGCCATCTCCATTTGCATCTGCCTTAAAAAATAAGTTAAAATTTTGCTGCACTTGGGGGCGCCGTATATGCAAATGTATGTATGAAATATGTTATTTTAATATTATTAAGATTTCTCACTGGCAACCTGTCCTACTGAAAAATTGCCCTCATTCTTGGTTTGGTAAATCTTGACTAACTCTGCAATTCCCATTTTGGTGTAATAGCTTCAGTTGAAGAAACCAACTAAACATCCTCTTGTCCATATAATTGGCCTCTTGTTCATTATAGAAATTTGCACATTAGGTCTTTTTGGTTGCTGTGGAAATTGATTACTAGTCCTGTTTCACTTGCCACTTATGGAAATATTGCATCGAGAGAAATGCAGACATAAATAAATTACCAGAAAACAATCTTAAAAATTATGTTTCTGGTTTGATTTGTAAAGTGTATTTATGAAACAGTGGTACTTCCTTTTATTGTTAGTAAGCAGGTAAAGAGGAAGAAGACACTTGAAGAGAAGACACATGTTTAGGGGAAAATGTGAAATTATCAGAAGAGCTTTCCAGTCAATTAGAGATGGCAAGAATCTAGAATTATCTCAGGAAAGTTGTGTAATCACTTATTTTACTCCATCACAGAATAATATCAGTAGGGAGGGACTCTTAGTACCTACTTTCTAGAAGACAGGCAGGATGACAAAGAGAAAAGTTTCTTAACCCAAAGAAACTCCTTCAAAATAGGAAATAAAATCAGCAGGAACAGAGAATGTTTGGGTCACACTCACTGGCTGTCAACCTGATCCAAAGAGAAACTGCAATAAATTTTCTCGCTAATCATGAGATTCACTTCTCAGACGTCTTGAAAGGGAAAGAAGTGTGATGTCCCCAGTCGGTAGAATTTTACCTTTTATCAGCACAAATTAAGCCCTCATTGAATTAAAGATTCAGGGGACTTTTGGAAAATCTTGGACTCCAATAACCTCAGAAATGGCCAGAAGTTCATTGATGGCCACCTCGTTAACTCCCTGCCCATCATCTTCTCGGTTAAATGATCACACGATGATTATCTTGGAGTACCCTGAGAGTTTCTTGAATGTGGACCTCCGGAAGGAAGACCATCTGGTGTGGGCAGTGATTTCCCCCCAAAGAAAAAGACCTGACTGGACTAGGTAATTTTGCAGACTCATTGACGAATCGAATGGCAATAGGCATATGTCTTTCTTGGGCATTTAGGAAAGATTTGGTAAGCCTTTGACTTCACCTCAAATCTTCTAATCTCACTTTGATTTGTGGAAAGCCAACTATCTGGACTCTCAGGGGAGATGGTTTTCTGAGCTTGAACCAATCAAAGCATGGCAGTGGGGCCGATGATCATCTGGTCATTGCATGCCACTTGGTGTTGCTGATGCGTTTGTGGTATGTTCTGGATTGGACAGGCCCATCACCACATTAGCTCGATGAATGGCTTGCTTGAATGAAGTCTGGGGGCAGGCTTCTCTTGATTGACTGGCTCTCGGTTTCTTTGTGTCTTCTGACTTGGTCTTTGTTGCATCTTTGAGCAGCCAAACTGGGAGGCGGGGAGGGAGAAGGGAAGATTTCCTTTTCGATGAATCACGCTACAGGTATTTGGGTAAATGTGTCTGATGTGTACACAGCTCTGATGACAATGTTACCATGCCAAAAAGGCAGACATCCGTCATGCTTGCCCTGCTTGCCGAACATCCTAACATCCCCTAACACACAGTGCATGGAAACAGCCCTCCACATTAGGGCAGAAGGGAACTCAATTCAGACCAGCTAGAGGAGAAACTAATAGAGGCATTCGCTCTGAGATTTCATGACGATCCAGGTGCCCTGCTAGTTTCCCTGGGCCACTGTTTTCATGGACACTTGCATTTCTGTAAAGATCCTTAAAAGTTAGCAGCTTTTGACCTACGGTAGTAGCCCCAGCCATACAGGTGCCTCTAGACTGAGCAAAAGAGACAGCAAGCAACAGGCTTCTGTTTGTTGTTTTATTTTCTACCTTTTTTTTGTTTTTTGAGACCTTTAAGTTTTTCGGCAACATTAGACTCTACCATATGAAACTGCTATTTTTGTGGGCCCCAAATGGTAGAATATTGGCAATTTCATATAGCTCAGCTTAATAGAGGGGCTTCCCGATGACTCACTGGTAAAGAATCTGACTGTAATTCAGGAGGCACAGGTTTGATCCCTGGGTCAGGAAGGTCCCCTAGAGGAGGAAATGGCAACCTACTCCAGTATTCTTGCCTGGAAAAAATCCCATGGAGAGGAGCCTGGTGGGCTACAATCCATGGGGTCACAGAGTTGGACATGAGCGACTCAGTTGGACTGAGCAACTGACTAATCACAGCTTAATAGAAGCCCAATTAAAATGCCATAATATCAATATCAATAATCTTGCTCTCTGCCTAGTCATACATATACATATATGTATGTTGTGTATATATATTGCTCACATATACATGTGAAAATATATGTATACACAACACATACACACACTTCTGCCTTAGGACCTCATGGAGGACTTACATGAGTGTCTAGATAAATAAATCTTAATACAAGGAGGTCAGGATATGCCAATTTCTGCCAGTCACGAACCCCATGCGAGAACATTTTTTAAATGTGATACTCATAACCTGTAAATAACAGATTCTATGTCAGAGAGAAATAGATTAGTAGCCTTTCTTAAGACTCAATAGGAATAGGTAGTCATGTCTTTGAGGTCATGAAGCAGTTGATCTGTAGATCAACTATTTAAAATTATATGGTGGTAGAGATAGTTAGGGGCTTCCCTGATAGCTCTGTCAGTAAAGAATCTGCCTGCAATGCAGGAGACCCTGGTTTGATATCTGGGTTGGGAAGATCCGCTGGAGAAGGGATAGGCTACCCACTCCAGTATTCATGAGCTTCCTTGGTGGCTCAGGTGGTGAAGAATCTGCCTACAATGCGGGGGATCTGGGTTCGATCCTTGGGTTGGGAAGATCTTCTGGAGGAGGGAACGGCTAGCCACTCCAGTATTCTGGCCTAGAGAATCCCCATGGACAGAGGAGCCTGGC